GGCAGCGTGTACTTCTTGATGAGGCGCAGCATGGACTGGTAGGAGTTCCAGGTGTCGTGGGCCACCAGGAGATCCCGATTGCCCGGCAGCAGCTTCACTAGGGCAGAGCAGGAGCCTGAGCCCAGCACGCGCTGCAGGGAGGAGCGGTTCAGGGCAGACTCCAGGTCCTCCAGGTCACCCCCCAACTGCAGCAGCCTGAGGGGAAGCAAGATATATGAGGTACCAGGTGGGGGACATCCCAGCACACGAGCTGAGCTGGCTCAGAGCTCTCTGTCTGTCTGTCCGTCCAGGCTGGAGCCATTTATTCATCCCACACTAATGCAGGTACTTGTGCTGGGAGCACCTTGGCAGTCAGATCAGGGAGGGAAGGGTGAGCACAGCAGTGGGGAAACTGAGGCAGGAGCTGTGGGGGGACCCACTCCCCAGATCATGGTGTGGGGAGGAGGAGAAACTGCCTTGGCTCCATCCTGCCCCAGCAGCAGAGGACAAGCACCCACAGAACATGGATGAGGTGAACTGGGAGCAGAACTGGCTGTCCCTGGACATGCAGGAATTGTCCCCACAAGATGCCCCAGCCACACCTTGAGACAACCACCTCCCACTCTCCACCACCTCCAAGAAGGAGCTTACAGGAAGCCAAAGGGTGCCAGGGTGAACCTGCCCCGGGGGAAGTCCAGGCGCCTGTTGTAGCTGTCCTCCAGCCCCTTCAGCTGCAGCAGGGCCAGGCGCACCTGGGGACAGGGGACAGAGCTGGCACCCGGCTTCCCTGAGGAAGAGGGGTGAGAGATTTTGGGGGATGGGCTCCCCCATTCCCCCAGGGGACGCAGCAGATCCAGTGGGTCCCAGTGCTGTTGCAGAGGCAGGAAGAGGCACAGGGGGAAGTGTCACTGTCAGCAAAGTCATGACTCAGCACCTGTGCCCAAGGGTGGCCAAGTCACCCCCTGGGCACCCCAAAGGCACCACGTGAAGCTCCAGCACCGAGAAAGTCACGAGTCACTTCTTCTCGCCCCAGGGAGGAGGATCCATGTGGCCACATCCCTGTCATCCTGCCTGGAGCCCAGCCAGGACATCTCACTGCCCTGTCCCCGCCTCTGAATTGAAGCCCCAGCTATCCCAGGAGGATGCAGTGGGGTTCTCCTGGGGTGGGGGTACCCCATCCTCACCTGGTGCCAGTACTCGGGGTCCTGCCCCTTCCCCATCTGCTCCTCCATCCAGCCCAGGTTGGCCTCCAGGTAGTCCCGGAGCTTCTGGCAGTACTCGCTCTCGTACTTGAAGGGGCCGCAGTAGCCCACCATGGTGTTCATCCAGTGCATGTACATCAGCTGGGGGGCACAGCGTGGCGTCACCGGCGGGGGACAGCCAGGGAAAGAGGGAAGGGAAGGGGACATGTCCTCCAGGGCCCCATTTTTGGAGGGGTCACCCCTTACCTGCTCGGTGACAGCAGCCTCGGCGAGCCCGGCAGCGTAGGCCTGCAGGCTGTCATTGTACGAGGCGTTGGTGGTCACCTCGAGGAAGGCCCAGCTGGGGGGGACACGGTCACGGAGGGCGGTCAAGGGTGGG